TTTTTTTTTTTTTTTTTTTTTTTTTTTTTTTAATTTTTTTAAATGTTTGTTTATTTTTGAGACAGAGAGAGACAGAGCATGAACAGGGGAGGGTCAGAGAGAGAGAGAGACACACAGAATCCGAAGCAGGCTCCAGGCTCTGAGCTGTCAGCACAGAGCCCAACGCGGGGCTTGAACTCACGGACCATGAAATCATGACTTGAGCCAAAGTCGGACGCTTAACCGACTGAGCCACCCAGGTGCCCCTCTCTTGGGTATATTCTTATCTGGGAGTAAAAGGTCTGGGTCATAAGGTAATTCCAACTTTTCGAGGAACTGCAAAAGTATTTTCCTAAGTGATCGTATCATTTTATAGTCCCACGGTATGAGGGTATGTCAAGTTATGAGGGTTCCATTTCCTTCACATCCTTGCCAACATTTGTTATTGTCTGTCTTTTTAAATTTTAGTTATTCTAGTGGGTGTGGAGTAGTACCTCATTGCAGTTTTGATTTGCATTTTCTTAATGACTAACGATTGAACATTTTATTATGTCTTTATTGGCCATATATATATCTTTCTTGGAGAGGTATCTGTTCAAATCCTTTGCCTATTTTTAAATTGGATTATTTGCTTTTTTATTATTGAGTTGTAAGAGTTCTTTATATATTCTAGATACGAGTCCCTTATCAACTCTGATTTACAAATATTTTTTCCCGTTTTATGGATTGTCTTTTCATTGTCTTCATGGTGTTGATGATTCTAAAATTTTTTCATAATATGTGGTTGTAGTATTTATAAAGAATGTCTGTTTTGGATATCTTTTCCTTTCTATATTTATCCTCATTTCTTTTCACTACCTTATTTTGATGACCAGGAAGAGTTCTGAAAAATATATCAAAAATAGAAGTGGTAACGGAGCACATTTTTAGTTTTTGTTTTATTTTGGTTTTCACATTTCTAAGGAGAGTGACTGTCATGTTTCTTCACTGTGAATACTGCTAACTTCTGAGTTCAGAGTAAGCCTCTTTATCATGTTTAAAGTTCCTTTATTTCTCTTTCAAGGGTTAAAAACGGTGAAAAATGAAAGCAATAGTCTCTATTCTCCCCATAAATGTCTACCCCATACCCAGTCTTATTTGTGAATATGTAGTATTTTTGTACTTTGGTTATCTGTAGATTGCCCTTTCATTATGCAGTAACAGAAACTTCTTTCTTTTCAGTAACAAGTTATAGCTCTAGTAATTTTTGTCAGTGGATGAGCACCATCATTTATTGTCATGTTTCTGTGGGTTTTTTTCCTTGTGATTTGGTGAGAAGATCTGACCTTACAAAGAATAATATTTAATTTTATATGATCATTTAGCCAGAGTTACTATTTTCTTTTCCTTTATTTCCTCCTTCCTTCCTTCCTTCCTTTTTCTTTTTCTTTCTTTCTTTCTCTTTCTTTCTTTCTTTCTTTCTTTCTTTCTTTCTTTCTTTCTTTCTTTCTTTCTTTCCTTCCTTCCTTCCTTCCTTCCTTCCTTCCTTCCTTCCTTCCTATAAGGCAATGAGTGAAATCTATTTTCTTCCGAAACATCAGAAAGTAATATAAAGGCCAAAGCCTTTCTAACATCTTAAACATTTCTGTCTCCTTAAAAATTGCTAAGTTGGAAGACCTCAGTATAAAAGTAATACTTTTCAGAAGAGTGGATAAAATGGATGAAATGGAAGAGGATGAAATAGAGGAGTTTTCAAAATACCCTTTACAAGCCTCCATTTTGATTGCATTTCACAATATCTAAGACACCATGCCTGAGAATGTGCTCTCCTTGCTTGTGGAGTTGATTAGTGGCCGGTCAGAAGCCAATGGTGACTTCAGGGTGGAAATAATACCCAATATTAAAGTTGCTGTCATGACTTTTCACAAAAATACTGGTAAGACAGACAATATCTTTTAACCTTTCATTTGCGAATTGTGCTTGTATCCTACTTTGAGATTCTAGACATCTCACAGTGGGTTTTGTTTAAAAGTTGTGCTCTTTCTAACTCCCAGTAAGACAATTGCAAAGGATTATGTATTATTATTTCCGGTACTCCTAAAAACTAGCATTTATCAAGTGCTTTGCTCTATGCTAAGCACTGTGCTAAATTTTTACTTGCTTCTTCTTAAAACATATAGCACTATGAGATACGTACTGTTATTACCGCCATTTTACAGATAAAGAAATCTAGGTTTAGAGAGAATTAAATGATTTGGTCACAGTCACACTGCTAGTAACATTTCTGACTTCTGAGTGTATTTTTTTTCTTTTCTTTTTTTACTTTAGAGAGAGACCATGAACAGGGGAGAGGGGCAGAAGGAGAGAGAGAGTGAGAAAGAGAGAGAGAGGGAATTCCAAGTAGGCTCCATGCTCAGCACAGAGCCTGACATAGGGCTCGATCCCTTGACACTGGGATCATGACCTGAGCCAAAATCAAGAGTTGGACACGCAACCGACTGAGTCATCCAGGCACCCCCTGAGTGTATTTTCTGAACCACTGTGACTATGCCCTCAAATTTCCTATGAGCCTAAACAAATTTATTTTTATGACAATGACATGTCCAAATAGAGACCAAGATATGGTGAAATTGGGGGGGGGGTGGGCAGAGAGAAATTAGAGTGAGGAAACAATATCATATTATAATCATTATTATTATCAGCTTACACAATGGCTGCACATACTTGATTTCATTTAGAGAGATAGCTGTTGATACATGTTCCCAAAATGGTCTTAAGTGGAGGCCAGTGTGCACTCATGCATTCTCGGTAAGCAACGTGGGATAGGTTGAAGTTGATACTGTGAAATTTAACTTTATGTAGAAATATAGTATCTAAATTTTAATTCTTAGTTATGGCCTCTAAATCAAGTTACTATTTAAAATCTGTTTTCTTTTGCCATGAAATGAGATTATAGTACCAATAAACTGATTTTTATTTGTAGATGACAAGGCATTTGTTAATGTTTGTGTCAGACACTACAGAATTCAGCAATTTCAGATTTTCCCAAGACTTCTGGAAGTGATAAGAACCATTAGGGTTGAAAATCTGCAACCTCATGTTGATAAAATTACATAACAATTTTCTTGGAAAACCCCACAAATGGAGGAGAAGGAGTAACCAATGCACAGCTTTTCCCAGAGAAGAGTTCAGCCCTGGTTGAGTTTTCTGACTACCAAGGTAATTGATTCTCTTCTTTCTAAATCTTTACAGTTATTATTAACCATTTCATGCACAAATGAAGTCAAATTAGAAGCCACAAAGTGGTTAGGAAAACCATCAGAGCCACCCATTCTTACTGGAATATGCCATGAATTAACTCAAGGCTTTGAATAGGTCTTTGTGAAGACCTAGATAAAAGAATTGTTTTTTGTGCAGTAAAAAAAAAAAAAAAAAAAAAAAAAAAAAAAAAAAAAAAAAAAAAAAAAAAAAAAAAAAAAACCCAGAAAACAAAAACTTCTCTTGACCTCAATTTCTCTGCAGTTACTGCTTCATTTTTTTGTTTCCCTTTGCAGAAAAATGTCTCAGGTGAGTTTGTCTTTACTCATCCCCATTTTCTCTCCTCTTACTCTTTCTCAAATCCATCCGAGAGGAGGCTTTATCCCCACCATTCCATCAAAATTGCTCTCGTCAAGTTCAGCAATGACCTCCTAAACTAAATTTACGAACCAGTTTTCAGGCTTAATTTTACTTGATCTCTTCATAGCACTTGACTCAATGATAAATAACTCTCTCCTTCTAAGTGCACTTTGTTCACTTCCTGCTAGGATGCCACACTTTGTTCTCCTACCTCGGTAGCTGCTAATTCTCATTCTTCCTTCATTTTACCTTTTCTTCAACTTTTAATTTAGAGCTCAGTTCTTTACTTCTTTTTGTCTACACTCAGTTCCTTGGAGAGCTAGTGGCTTTAAATACTGTCTATGTATCCATGACTTTCAATTCATGTCTCCAGTCAAGACTCTCTCATAAACTCCAATGTCAATTTTCACTGCTAGTAGACCTATTCACCTGGTTGCCTAAAAGTATATGACATAAATATAACATGTCCAAGACAAAACTCCCAGTCCTTCTCACCTTATGCCACCAACCTGCATTATCCACAGGCTTTCCCATCTCAGTTGATAGCAGTTCCATCCTCCTAGTGATGAGGGAGCTTGAGGCAGGCTGAGGGCAAAATACAGACTAGCACACACCACACACACACCCTAGGTGGGACATGTGTGATATTCCTCAGGCACTCCTGGCTACCCTAGGACAAAGGAGAGGAAAGAAAACAAATGACTAACTGATAGAGATCACAGTCATATAGGACATGGGTCTCCATCAGTTTACAAATGTCTTGGTAAATTATAAGAAAAAGGCAATCTTGTCAATAGACTAATCTCCAGAAACCTATAAACTCTGTTTCCTGGAGCCCCAGCATCACCCCTCAATAGTGATATGGGAAACAAAGGCAGGAAGAAAATGGCAGGTAAAATTGAATATCCTTATAACCGGCAGCCCATTGACAAATACTTAAGGCAAATACAGAGTGTAGCATTTCTCCTGGAACCCCCTACCATCCTAATGTTAATGCCTTAGTAGAGGGAAAACAAAGCTTGACAATAGCAAGGCCTCAGGTATCTTAGGAGTCCTCTTTAGCATATCAAAGTCCCTCTGGAGGCCTCCCTTTTGACTTTACGTCCCCAACTCAATAGTATAAAACCAGCCATTCTTCACAACCCCAGTGCAGGTCTTTCTGCCTATGGGTCCTGTCCCTGTGCTTTAATAACATCACCTTTTGCACTGAAGACGTTTTCAAGAATTCTTTCTTGGTCATTGGCTCCAGCCCTCTTTCCCCCCCCCCCCCCCCCCCCCCCCCCCCCCCCCCCCCCGCCCCCACACTTAACCTCAAAAACTCATCATTTTTTGCTCAGGCCAAAACCTGGGAGTCTCTCATATCCCACACCTAGTCTTTTAGGAAATCCTGTTCACTCTAGCTTCAAGATGTATTCATAATCTGATCACTTCTCAAAGAGCATGATAAGAATTTGGAAAATTAAATGAACCATTTTAAAGGTAGTAACAAACTCCCAAAGAGCTTATGCCACAGAGTAGTTTATATTTTAGATAATATGACTAAATAAATGCCATTATTAATGGCCATATTTCATCTGCACATCCCCTCCTAACTATGATCCTTAGGAAGAGTTGCTAAAGCCAAAAAATATCTCTGAAACTGTAGGTGGAGATAGAAGGCTGGGGGATGGAAATGAATGAGGTCAAGAGAAAAGAAGCAAAAATTAGGATCTTTCTCATATAGCTTGGAAGGAAACCAGTCAAGCAGGAAAGCCAAAAATTGAGATCCTCTCTAGAAGGAAAAGGAGCTTAACTTTCAGTAGTTTAAGAAGCTAATAGTCTTAGGACTAGACTGAAATAATATCTGATTCTTCATATAGCAATGAATTGATACCACTGGACATTGTTTTTAATGTTTATTTATTTTTGAGATAGAGAGAGACAAAGCACGAGCGTGGGAGGGGCAGAGAGAGGAAGACACAGAATCTGAAGCAGGCTCCAGGCTCCGAGCTGTCAGCATAGAGCCCGACATGGGTCTTGAACCCACGAACCATGAGATCACGACCTGAGCTGAAGTCTGACACCTGACCATTGGAGCCACTCAGGCACCCCATACCACTGGACATTTTTAATTGGCACTTTATGAGAAGACAAATGTTTAGTGTGGGTATCCCTCACCTAGCAGACTTCTACATTTAAAACGGTATAATTCTTAGGACTCATACTAACCTCCCAAAGTTGCAAAATATGAAGGTCCCATCTCTCTTGCATACTTGTCACCTAGTCCTTAGCTAGTGTTGACATCTGAAGAGCTTTTTTTTTTTTTTAACAGTTAATTATGGTTATACTCTGGTAAATGGTTAGTGGCTAAGCACAGTCAATGTCTCTGGAGATAATGTGCAAGTTGGGTTAGCTAAAAGCCTGAGTCTGCACTCCAACCATTGTGAGCTAAAGAAGCCATCAGGAGAGGCAGAGTGATATAGGGTGTAGTGCAGCATTTTACAAACTTTTTGTAAACCATGGGGCACCATAAAAATAGGGATTTTATATCCCAACCCATACCTTATGTAAAAACAAAAACATTTGTTGCAATTTGGAAAAAAAGTTTTGCTGCAACATGCATTTCTTGCTAAGGAACTGTTATACTCTGTTTTCTATTATATTCTGTTTTGTTTTTGTTTGGTTGGGTTTTGAGGCTTTTGTTGTTGTTTATAGTTTTTTGTTTAGACCCTTAAAATTCATATTGTTGGCATAGTTATCAGAGGTTGGCATTCAGCAATGACTTTGACACAAAGGATTAGGGGGTAGGGGTTTTAACCTTATCCCCTCTGTCTCCACCAGCCTGCCTCTTCAAGCCATCCTAAATAAGCATACAGTCTGTGTTAGTTTTCTATTGCTCCATACCAAATTTAGTGGCTTTACATAGCAACCATTTATTATCCTACTTTCTGAGGGCGAGGAATTTGGGAGCAGCTTAACTGGGTGATTCTGGATAAGGACCCCTGATGAGGTTGCTATCAACCTGTTATTTGGGGCTGCAGTTATCTGAAGGCTTGATGGGGACTGGAGAGTTTCTTCTAGGCTCACTCACATAACTGCTGCCAGAGGCCTCACTTCCCTGCCTTGAGGGCCTTTCCATAGGGTTGTTCATGATGTGGCAGCTGGCTGCCCCCAGACTGAGTTATCTGAGAGAGAGAGGGTGGCAGGGGAGGGGGCAAGGGCTATAGTGCCTTTTGTCATCTAGCGTCAGAAGAGACACAGCATCACTTGTGCCATATTCTGTTGGTCACAGAGACCAACTCTGATACAAGATGGAAGGAAATTATAGAAAGGCATGATTATCAGGGATCATTGGTGCCATCTTACTTACACAATCCAAGGAAATACAGCTTTAAGACAAGTTCCACATACTGCCCCCTACTTCTAGCCAGATTGTCACTCCTAAGCCTTCTATATAGAAATAGAGCATCACTGGCCTTTAGAATCCCAAAGATACATATTTAAATTCTAGAATTTACTAGCTGGATAGTGATAGCAATGTTACTTCCTTACTCTGTTTCCTTATTTAAAGTGGGTATAAAACCTATCTCACAGGGTCGTTATGAAGATTAAGTAGGATAATATTTGTACACTGCCTGACACAAACCAGGTATTCAATAAATAAAGTTATTATAACTATCAAATTAGGAAAGAATGGAAAGCATAAGTTACTAATTTGATGGGAAATAATAGATATGAATTGTGTTCTAGATAAATGTAGGTCTCAGCTGCTACAGGATAAAGTGCTATTATTAAGTGATGTTTGAATAGTTTGGTGTCCTTCATTTTGATACTGTTATCACCTCTGAACATAAAAGTACTGTAATAAACTATTTCTACTGGGGAACATGTATTTGAAAATAGGCTAGTCAGGGCACCTGGGTGGCTGAGTCGGTTAAGCATACAACTCCTGATTTCGGCTCAGGTCAAGATCTTAGGGTCATGAGATGGAGCCCCACAGCAAATTCTTTTTCTCCCTCTCTCTCTGCCCCCCATCACTCCTGCACACCTGTGTGCTCTCTTTCTCTCTAAAAAAAAAAAAGGAAGAAAGGAAGGAAGGAAGGAAGGAAGGAAGGAAGGAAGGAAGGAAGGAAGAAAAAGAAATAGGCTAATGAATTTAGAGAAAAATCTCCCTTGCCCCCCCAAAAAGAAAAATGGTTGTCTTAGATGTAAAATCACATCCCTAAGTGATGGTCCATCTTCTGCTTGGCTGGGAACTCATTGTCCCCCAAGTTGACCCATTCTTCCTTAGGACAGTTCTAATTATTAAAAAAATTTAGCAGCATATGAAGCCCAAATATGTTTTACTTATTAGTCCTTGTTATTCCTTTTAAAGTTGTAGAAATAAATCCTTTATAAGATAACCCTTCAAATGTTTAATGACAACTATTACGTGCGGCTCCCTTCATCTACTTATTATCTGTACTTCTGCAAGTTAAATATATTCAGTTCCTTTTATATATCCTCATGTGATGTGGTTTTGAATCCTTTTACAGCATCAGTTTCCCTCTTCAGAACACCATAGCTAGTTTTCATAATCCCTTTGCAATGTTTGGCACCTTAAACTAAGTACCATACCCCAGGTATTGCCGATTTTTACCAGTCAAAAGTAGAATAGGGTTATTTATTCACCATACATATTCTTGTTACTATGTTTTTTTTTTAATTATAGCCTCAAATCTCATTGCTACCCTTTTTAAGATGAATGGACTTTATTTTTAGAACAATTTTAGGTTTATAGAAAAATTAAGCAGAAAGTAAGGAGAATGCCTCCTACCCCTAGTTTTCCCTAGTATTATCATCTTGCATTAGTGTGGTACATTTGCTACAATTGATGAAAGCGTATTGCTACGTTATTATTAACTACATTCCACCACATTAGAGCTCACTCTTAGTGTTGGATGCTTCTCTGGGTTTTGACAAATGCATAATGTCATGCGTCCTCAATTATAGTTTCATACAGAATAATTTCAGTGCCCTGAAAATCCCCTGTGCTCACCTATTCACCCCTCCCTTCCTCCTCCAAACTGCAAGCAGCCACTGATATTTTTACTGTCTCCACAGTTTTGTCTTTTCAAAAATGTCATGTAGTTGGAATCATATGATATGTAGTCTTTCACATGGGCTCCTTTGCTTAGCAACAGGCATTATATTTCCTCTATGCCTTTTTGTAGCTTCATAGCTCATTTCTTTTATCTCTGAATCATATTCTGTTTTATGGAGGCATCATATCTATTATGTATCCATTCATTTATTGAAGGACACCTTGGTTACTTCCAAGTTTGGGCAATTATGAATAAAGCTATATTGCTACTATAAACATTCATTTACAGGTTTTGTGTGGACATAAGTTTTCAAGATATTTGGATAAATACCATAAAGTACAAATGCTGGATCATATGGTAAAAGTATGTTTAGTTTTATAAGAAATTGCCAGACTGTCTCCAAAGTGGCTGCACCATTTTGCATTCCCATCAACAATGGATGAGAGTTCCTACTGCTCCATGTGCTTCCCAGCATTTGGTGACTTTTTTTTTCTTCTTCTTTCATTTTTTTTTTTTTTTACATTTATTTTTACTTTGAGAGAGACAGAGATAGCACGAGTTGGGGAGGAGCAGAGAGAGAGGGAGACAGAATCCCAAGCAAGCTCTGCACTGTCAGCGCGGAGCCTAATGCGGGGCTCGAACTCATGAAACTGTGAGATCGTGACCTGAGCCAAAATCAAGAGTCAGTTGTTTAACCCAGTGAGCCACCCAGGCGCCCCCTTTTTTCCTTCTTAAACACAGCTACATCACTGTTGATTTATACAGAATTTACTGTCAACCGAAATCCCTTAGATGTTTTTATACTAGCTGCTAAGCCACACTTTCTCCCAAACTTGTGCAGTTATTCTTTGGACTTTTCTTAGTGCCCTTCCTTTCTTTTGGTGCTTCTCCAAAAGTCCTGGGGTCTCTTTTATTTATTAGGTTCTTTCATAATTCAACTGCTATAGGTATTGCTGTGAAGGACTCACAACCTTCTCCAGAGGGATTGCCTTCAGGAGACTAAAGGCCTGGGAACTGGAGGTATCTGGGAGTTTACATTCATCACCCAACCAGGATGACCTGTAGACAATAACTGACTGGTATGAGGTTCTAAACCCAGCTCCCTGTCCCAAGGTTGGGATAACACCATGATGCAATTTATATACTCCAGAGCTCCTTGCAGGATTAGCAGAAGCCAGGCTTAACCTGAACCACATTCTCTGTCTTTGTCTCTCACATCCTACAGGTTTCTCCTGAGGGTACAACTTTAATAATTCACATGAATCCTCATCTCAGGCTCTGCTTCTAGGGAATCTGAACTAATTTTATGAAATTTTTTATTACAGCATGCAATTGTTTTTAACTATTTTTGGCTATGACAACTATTCCTTTAAAAATGGTATTGGCTTTACTTCTAACAGTTCATTTTTAATTGCTCATGCATTATTGTTTGTATTTATTGAATCTTTAAGAGCCAAGTTTGTTTGCTTTTTTTTTCCAGAAAAAAATCACCTCCCCAATATTGTAATGAATGTCAATGGGAATACCAGATTAATTGTACAGACCTTCACTACAAAGTAAACATGAATGGAATAGATCTATTTCATTCAGTGCGAATTGGATCCATTGCATTCATGAATGTCACATCTTTCATTGAGCTGCCTGACAGTGGTGGTACCATTTTAGGGAGATATACTATATTGCAGAGTCTCATTAGTATCAGGATTTCTTTTTGTGCCAAAGATTTTGTCTTAATACCTACCTTTTGCTTTTTCTTTTTTTAGTGGTGGACACCTACTTGGCCAAAAAGCTTGTCTTCAATGAAAGGCCCATTACTGTGTTTCCATATTATGTGACTTTGGGCGTAGCCTTATATGGAAAGGAGAAGCCCCTGAGAAAGTTGCTAGCACCATTTTGGGTGGCTCTGCATCCTCTCATATGGAAGATCATGCAGAAGAAGCATCTCCTGATTGGAATGATAAATTATAAAAGGGGAAGGTGACACTCTGAGGTAACATGGCACCAAGTCAACTGTAAGAGGCTAGAGGTAACATTCAGGTCTGCGACCACTGAACTCACTCAAAGAAGAACAAAGATCAATGTCATCAAGACTTGGAAAGAGGACATTTCTAAAAACTTCTGCCATATCATCTTTAAATATAAAGTCACCGAGTTGAATATGAAACCAGCAGTATGGGAAGACATAAAAAACAGCATAGACGATGATAGGACTTCAATTGAGTCTGATATAGTCAAGGAGGTGGTCATAATAGGTTGTTTGGAGGATGTGAAAAGAATTTAACACAAGACACCAATCATAACATTGAAAAGGAAAAAAACAAAATTTGATAGAGAATGTGGCTGGTTCTTCTGAAAGGTTTTCTAGTCTTCATATCAGTGCTTTGAAACAGTCTATACCTGAGGAATTCTCAGGGTGGGAGATCGAGGTCATTTTTTTGTTTGTTTGTTTCAAGTTTTTATTTAAATTCTAGTTAGTTAACAGAATGTAATGTTGGTTTCAGGAGTAGAATTAGGCAATTCATCACTTACATATAACATCTATTGCTAATCACAACAAGGGCCCTTCTTAATACCCATTTATCCCACCGCTCACCAGGGTGGGAGGTCATTGATAATGCTTGCAGCAAACATACCACAGTACATGCAGGAGAGTATAAAAAATGAAATTCTTGAGCAAGTGAAGAGGACTGTTCAAGCCCATTTCCAGTCCTTCTGGAGTTTCCTATTTGTTATAGAAAGTAGAGTGTGGAAAATTCTCTAAGATTATTTTAAGCAAAGAAAAGTCACATCCTTTCTGAGTTAGATCAGGCATGGAAAATACATTTCATTTCATGGGTTACCTCTGATCAAATGACAGTTGTTGCCTGGAGCTCTGCGTTGAGCAAGATTCTGAAACTATCTGCATTGATTGAAAAAGAGTGTTGATACCAATTAATGTCTGTGACAGATGTGGATGACAAGGTTTATGGGATGGGGTGGTGATGTATCCCATGTTTTTACCATTGGTAAGTGTGACAATACCGTCAGGCAGATCAGCTCCTCTTGCAGATTCTGTGAAGAGCAGATTCAAGGATTGTGTCCTTTATCAGCTAATAATTTGACTTTAAGTAGGTGGTTTCATCTCTTTGTACACTGGTCTCCCCCCCCCCCCCCCCCCCCATGAAGTTTCTGTACTGGATGATCTGTGATGACCCTTTAAATTCTAAAATTCTATGACTGATGAATAGTCAAGTTATAAATGCGTTGTTGTGGAGAACTAAGGGGTGTGTCTTAGTTTGGGTTCCCTCAGAAGAGAACCTGAGACAGGATTCAAGTGCAAATGATCTAAATAGGGAAGTAAAAGATACTGATGGTGTGTTTTCAAATCCATTACCACTAATCCCACTGGGGAAACTCAGAGTGAGGCCTACCTGGAAGGCAAGGTTGCTGGGGTGGTTTTACAGGAACTCCTATCAATCATTGGATGAGGACTTGAGAGGGGGTTGTGGGAGGGCTGGTTAATTTACCTGCGATTCCTCTCTGCTACACCTGCAAGCAAAGCAGGCTTTGGTACTACAGAAACTCCTCTGACAAGGAATACAGCTGGAGGGGTGCCTGGGTGTCTCAGTCTGACTTCGGCTCAGGTCGTGATCTCACAGTTTTGTGAGTTCTAGCCCTGTGTCAGGCTCTGTGCTCAGAGCCTGGAGCCTGCTTCAGGTTCTGTGTCTCCCCCCCCACCCCCTCTGTCTCTCTTTCTCTCTCTGCCCCTCTCCTACCTGCTCTGTCTCTTTCTCAAAAATAAATAAATAAATAAATAAATAAATAAATAACATTAAAAAAATAAAAAAGAAAGAAAGAAAAGAAATACAGCTGGAAATAAGACCCAAGTGCCCTTAAATAGGAAGAGCCAGGGGATATGAGCAGGGTCTCCTAAGCTAGAATTCTTGGGGGAATAAGTAAAAGAGCTCACTGGCATTTGAAGTGTTAAATACATTGTGGTAATACATTATTTGCTTTTGAATCTTAGGGTTGGGTTATGAGTTGAGTTAGAGAGATGATGAATCTAATAGGTTCTGTTTGGACACCTATGAGGAAAGTCTCCAGATAGCATTGCCTGGTAATTATTTTTACTGTTTTCTCCACAGTCAAGAGACCAAGCCAGCTGGAAAAATGATCTTTCCAACAGACATGTGATAGCCTCAACCCAAACCAAAGAAGGTCTAAAGCTTGTGATGATAAGTGGAGATGTTATTTATTTCCAGGTAAGTGGTACTATTTAGTAAATCCATCAAGAAACAATGGTGTCTAATTAACTGGTTCTGTGATTTAAGATCAAAGATGAAGACCATATAAATTTGGGAAGTTAAACCCACCCGAGGTTCAAGCAGGGCTATACTCACCATCCCCTGCATTCCATGTGTTCTCATGTGAAGAGATCCAAGTTGACCACAAACCAGGCTGTGCATATGCACCTCTTTTATTTCTCTATAACTTATCTTTACCTATTTTCAACCCAGTTCTGTTTTTTCTCTCCTGTTCCAATCGACATTTATGGGGATACATCCTATTATAATATTATCCTTCACAAATACCCTGTTGCTCCTGTCTGAGCACTTTCTGAGACACAGGCAGAATGAGAAAGGAGAAAGATTACCAGTACAGGTACTAAATGCTCAGCCTGCCTTTTGCTGCCTCCCCTTCTATTGCTCCCCCTCCCCTCCCCCTGGAATCACCAATTAGCAGGAGGTGCAGGCGCTATATCCCATCTGTAGTTGACATCCATGATACTCAGTGCTGGCTGCACATCAGAATCATCTGGGAAGCTTTTAAAACTACAGATGCCAAGAACTTACCCCTAGAGACTCTGATTTTAATTGGTCAGGTATGTGGTGGGGGGGGAGGGATCAGTAGTTTTTAAAAGAATTCAAGGTGATTCTAATATGAAGAGATTTACTGATGTGGATTCTTCTTCAGAATTCTGTAGTTTCCACCATTTTGACACTTGATATTTACCAGATGGCATACACTCAAGATTAATGAAAGGAGAATTCTTTTGAGAAATTTGGAGACTCATGGATTATCAGCCACTGGAAATATTCTTTGCTTTTGCTGCATCTAATGAGACAGCAGCAGGGAGGCAGCCAGCCAGTTTCTTCATGTTCTCTAGAGTAGCTAGAGTCCTTCTCTTTGTCACATGGTTTCAGGACCTTCACTCAGAGCTTCAAGGTGAAAATTTGAATCTTATAATTTTACCCAGAAAGGTGGCACTAATCAAGTACAGAAGACTTATTCATAAAACTGGAATTATAATTATTTAATTTGCAAAGAGGAAGCTAATTGCCATGGCTGTGGGTAATAGAGAGCTCTGTAGCTGCCTATTATGAGATGGTTTGGTGAGCATACTCAGACCAGAAAACAACTGGCTCACGTAAAAGTATAGGAAGTTTCTTTTTCACTCTAGAAGGCATAGTGTAGTGGTTATGCAGACCAACTCCAAAGTTAGTCCTGGCAGGGTTCAAATCCCACTTTACCACTGACCAGCCATTGATCTTGGTCAACATTCCCCCTTATGTCTCAGTGTCCTTACCTGTAATTATGGATGATGACAATATTAGGGTTCCTGTGCGGTGGGTCAAGTACAATAATCCACACAAAGCACTTAGCACCTTCTTGGCACATAGTGAAGACTCAAAAAATGATAGCTATCATCATTATCCACTTAGGACGGACCACTTGAAAGTTTACCTCACCCAATCAGTGCTACAATCTGAGACAGATATTACATGCCCTCATCTTATGGATGAGGAAACTGAGGTCTTTTCACGACATAGTCTGTTGATAAACTCTCACCAACCCTGTCAGGATACCTATTCTCATGGTTGGATGGCGCCATATAAACTTTGGAGCCCTTTAAATCTTTCTTCTCTGAGTTCCTTTCCCTATCCAACTGGTTTCCCAGCCTCCTTGCACACTGTCTCTTGTACATGCCCTTTCCTTTTCATTCCCACAGTCAACTGTCTTTCAGCACTCCCAGTCACCCTCTCACCCTCCTGTCTGTTCTCTCCATAGCTATTTGATGCATATTTATCAGATGCTCCCTACTGCCTGCAGCATAAAGCCCAAAAAAGTGTGAGCTTACAAAGTCTTACATCATCTGGCCCCAAATCTCTTTCCAGCCCTGTCTCTTACCATTAATACTCTCTGTTTGCTAAATTGGACTGCTTTCTGACCTTTTGCAATTCTGTGTGTTTTCTTAAATATTTACCCACCTAGAATGCTTACTGCCTTCTTTTCCCCTATCCCAGATTCATCCCTTATCCTCTTTGTAAAGACTCTACTAACCAGTCCAGTCTAAAGGATTCCTGCTTTTTTTTTTTTGAAATTCTATAGCAATTACTAATTATTTTTAACACAGTTTCTTTTGATTATCTTGAACTGATATAAACATTAAGACTATTTTGCTGTTTTACATGTTAATATATTGCTTCCCCAAACTGTGTAGGAATCAGTAAGCAGAGAGCAGGGTGAAAATGGGCTGAATCTTGTTTTTTTGGAAAGCTTACTGACTTTTTTTTTTTTTTAGTTTATTTATTTATTTTGAGAGAGAGAGAAGCAGAGAGAGAGGGAGAGAGAGGGAAACCCAAGCAGTGCAGAGCCCAATGTAGGGCTCAATCCCATGGACTGTAAGACCATGACCTGAGCTGAAATCAAGAGTCAGATGCTTAACCAACTGCCCTGTGGAAGGCTCACTAACTTTTCCCTGCAAGAAGCTTCTCAGATCCTGAAATTAGTTTATGTTAACTAACCTCATACAAGACTGAGGTGGACCCATGATAGTGAGAAATATAACTGTTATGTGGCCCAAAGACATATACACCTTTTAATTTACAATGAAGAAGAGCTCCCAAGGAACCAGAATACTCAAAATCCACTCGAGCAAAGCATTCTGCCCTCTAAATTTGAATACAAAATAGGAATAAATAGAATTGGATGAATTGAATATTTAACATCTGTCGGCATCAGGTCATGACCCCATCTCACCAAGGGGATGGCCTCAGCAAGCTTTGGAGATCCCCATACCCCTGGAATGGCTTGAGTGGACACTGCCTACCTTCCTTCAATGACCTTCCTTTGTTTAGGGCTTTGTTAGACCTTTTTTAGGCCTTTGTTAGACCAGAATCTGCACCCCCTCCCTGCCCTCGCCCTTCAGATGGACCCATTCTTTCTTTAGGTATGTTAATCAAGTCAAAACAATTACTCTCAGTTCCTGCCAGCCTAAAACATACTCTTTCTTCCTCAGTGGTCTCTTTCAGAGTTCTGTTTTTGTTTCCATCTGTCTAGCTATCTTTCTGTTTCCGCTTCTACCTTTCATTCTGACTCTCCTTTCTGTTTGCTCATTTTCGTAGCCCTACTCTGACTCATCATATGTTAACTTAACAGTAGTGGGTGATATATTTCCTTAATTTCTAAGTTTTGGGTCTCACCCCATTACAATATCTAAGTACTAACAACAGATTGTAAGCCCCTTGAGGGTAGGGCTGGGAGGTCAGTATGATAGACAAACGTATCTTGTGCATTACCTCATAATACTTGGCAAGTCATAGGTGCTTAATAACTATGGATTGGAACTCTAACAAACATGTTGCTGTTTTCCTTAAGGCCGATGTCATCGTCAACACTGTTCCCATGAATCTTCAGCTTGGAGGAGGACCACTATCTCAGTCTCTTTTGCAGAAAGCTGGTCCAAAGCTCCAGGAAGAGTTATATGCCACCAGGCAGGGAACAGAGGAGAAAGTGGGTAGCATATTCATGACAAGTGGCTGCAATCTGAACTGCAAAGCTGTGCTCCATGTCGTGGCACCAGGCTGGGATAATGGAGCAGGGTCTTCTCAGCAGGTAGAGAAAATCCTTAGTTCTCTGCTACATTGATAGCTCTGGTAATCTTCTGGCAGGATATAGATCTGTGGTTCTCAAGCAAAGTGAATTTATTCCCCAGGGGACATTTGGCTTGTTACACTGGCTACTGATAGCTAGGAAGTGGGGGCCAGGGATGCTGCTAAGTCTCCTACAAAGCATACATGAGCCTTCATAACACAGACTTTTCTGGCCCAGGTTGAGAAACCCTGGTATTGACTGAGCCTTGTCAATTTACTGAAATCTTTATTACATTCCATGAACAGTCCATCACAACTACCAGTTATTACAGTATAATTGACCTTGAAAGTAGTAACAATCCTTGGGGTTCTCCGAGAATGATATCTGAAAATTAGTGTAATGATCCTTCAGTATGATAGCGATGCAGCTAGAGCTGTGGTAAAGGATGAAGGGTCATTGCCCTTCTTTTGATGACTTCTCACCTCTATTCCCAGTTTAACTTCCACTTTCTTTTTTTTAGAATATAAAAGTAATACATGTACATTGGACAAAATACAGGAAGTACAAAGACAAAAATAAAAATTATAATCCAGCCATCTAGAGATAACTTTGGTGAACATTTTATTGCAATCCCTTTGAATCAATTTTATTCATACTTATTTCTTAGTTGAGACTCCTTCCAAACATTTTTTTAGTCCTGCTTTTTTTTACTTAAACATTTCCCCGTGTTGTTAGAAACTCTTCATAAACATCGCTTTTAATTGCAACAAGACACCATTGTTTATGTGACCATTCCCATACTATTGGAACCTTCTTCCTGCATGAGTTAGAATCTCCCTGGAATGTCCTCTTCCCTCTTAGGTTCCCTTTCTGACACCCTAGACCCGGACAAAGCCAAGAATAGCAGAGAAGCCCTAGTCAGAGTTTTTGGAGCTGTAGCTCTCTCTATTTCTCACCAGCTTACGCCCTAACTTACAGAAATGTACTTTGTACATTTCAGATCATGGCAAATATAATCAAGAAATGTTTGACAACTATGGAAGAGTTATCTTTTTCATCAATCACATTTCCCATGATTGGAACAGGAAATTTGAGTTTTCCCAAAGCTACTTTTGCTGAACTAATCCTTTCAGAAGTGTTCAAATTTAGTAGCAGTGCATGGCTGAAAACCTTACAAGAAGTTCACTTTCTGATACATCCAGGTGATAACGAAATCCATCAGGTACGGTTACGTATCTCTTCTGGTCATTCGGGCAAGTGAACCTAAGTGCAGTCAGATGTCTTTGTAGATCTATAAATAATAATGTTTTCACTTCCCTGTCCATAAGTGTTGGTTACTGATAGGGAGTTGTCGTAAGATTTATAACACTGAGAACTCATATAATCTTTCCCAGATAGTTTAGCAAGAGGCAAGATAATTTGTACTTAATAAATTCTTAGGAAAAAGCAGAAAGCTATTGGCATAAAATTGGCCAAGGCATTTTAACACTGACTGAATGAAAGCTAAGTCATGGCTTTATTTATAGGGAAAAGACCAACTGAGAGAAACCTCAAGAATTTACGGTGTTGTTGGTATTGTTGTTTTCGGGCTAGAATATAGCCAGTCTATCCAAATCTATGAGGGTCTTAAGCTAGAAACATCAGTAGAGTATTCAGTAGTAGAGAAGGAGTCAAAGCACAGTTAGTAAGTACTTAACTCCTGACACCTGACCTTGTAAGGTGACATTCCTTGAGATGCACTCCTTAGCTGATTGGCCCACTCTGAGTACTGAAATCTGTTTTTCACTCTTGAAAAAGTTATATTGATTTTATATAAATTGTGCTTAGTTATAGCAAAAATGCAAACAATATGAAAGTACAAAGAAGAAAGTTACCGCTAGGTTTGCATTTCAATTGTGCCATTTAAAGGTTGAGTGAGGCAACCTCTCTGAATCTCAGTTTTATCATGTGTAGAGTGAATATGACAATAATGCCTTTTTGAGTTGATGCGGGAATTAAGAGAAGATGTATTTGAAATGTTCTGCATGGTGTCTAGCATATAGCAAGCATCAAAACTGGTTGCAGAAGTAGTTATTATTATCTTTTTGTTACCTGACTTTAAGGGCTATTGCTATAAACTACTAACATGAGTACTTTAAAAAGATATCAAATATAGTGTTCTTTTCTAAGTTCTTAGTTATTCTCAGGTATCTGAGATAGAATTGTGGGCTTTCCTTGAAATAAACTAAATCAGCACTGATATATACTGCGAAAATTCCTAGGTTGAACTGTAATCCTTTAATTAAAAAGTCTCTGGGTAAGTGGAAATCTAGGGAGAACTATTGTTCCTAAATGATGTTTGGTGATCAATGCTCCAAAGAATTGGATTAATATTTTTACAGAATATTGTTGTAGTCGGTAACTATATTTCTATTTCCAGGCATTTTTAGATGAATTCACTAAATGGTCAAGAGGAAATCCTGACAAGGACAGGATTCTCATGGCTGGAGATGGCCAAGGTCTGGCAAAGTTGTTCTGCTGAGGAAATTACTTCCCTCTGCTTCGTACCTCTTCAGTGGTAGCTTAAGGCCAACAGAAGGAGACAAAGCTAATTCACATGAGGAACAAATCAGTGATGGAGAGGGTATTAGAGCATGTGTTGAGCATGTTCTGTTGTCTGAGCACACAAAGAATACATCACACAGACCCTGTGCTGTGCACCCCAGCAAACTCTAAGCCTAGGGTGGGTGTTGGTCCGGTGAGGCCAAAGAAAAGAGACACCAACTGAGACATAGCTTTACTGGGGAAACTTATGTACAGGGAGTCCGGGAGTGGCTGACGGGATAAAGGCTCTGCGGCTGGGATCTATATGCAGCAAGTTTTCATATCACAGCAACTTACCCTAGCAACTATCAGTGGCCCTTCCCCTCCTTGTGTGGCCAGCATTTCCAGGGAGATCAAGGCCTGACACTTGGACACTCTTCATTATAAGAGGACATTCAGGGTTGGCCAACCCCCCACAACCAGCCCCTGGCCTTGAACACTGAACAACATGCTCTTCTGCACATTCTGCCTGATGGGAATGTAGAGGGAGGACAGGATCTCTACATATTCAAGATAGTGATTAACAGGGCCATTCAGGGGATGCTTGCACAAACCAGCTATCCAGCATGTACCATAAGGATACGAACCAAATCCCTGGTAATGAGGCCAGGGTTTCTAAGGTATGATAATTAAAGATAACTGAAGATGGAGGAACAAGACAGAGGCCAGGGTTGGGACTGGCGACCGCTCCGTGGCTTCCTTGATCATCCCTGTGTGCTGCTTCACCCGCGGCAAAATCCTCACACCAAGTGGGAGGCCTACCTGGGGCTGCTGCGGGCATAGTACACTGAGGGGGATGCCCTGGATGTGCTGGCCTGAAGCACTGCTCTTGCCTCTACGTGCTGTTGGTGCACATGTATGTGATAAGAGGCCGTGCCCCTGGAGAAGTGAATGTGCTGGAGCCTGCCTTGCCTAGAGTTCATTCCACTGAGGTGTGGGTAGCTGGGAGCAGGACCTGCCCACAGCCTCCTGGGCCTGTGTCCTCCCACTCTGAAGGACTCATCCAGTAAAGGCCTTTGAAGAACCACACACATGCATACATAACTAAAATACGTACGACACCCTAAACTTCACTGATTGCTTTCATATATTTTTTTAAAGTTTTCTTATGTTTATTTATTTATTTTGAGAGAGAGAGATGAGTGGGGAGAGGGGCAGAGAGAGAGAGAGAGAGATTGAGAATCCCAAGCAGGTTCTGCGCTGTCAGCACAGAGCCAGATGTGGGGCTTGATCTCACAAACCGTGAGATCATGACCTGAGCTGAAATCAGGAGTCAAAGGCTTAGCCAACTCAGCCACCCGGTGCCCCTTCATATATATTATTTAATCTACACAATGGCTGCCTGGGCAGGTGGTTCTGTTGCCACTGTGTCATATTGAAGGGGAGACCTGAAGAGCTTAAGGGATGAGTATAAATGGCGCAGCTAAGTTGTAAAGCCTCAGAGTGTAGAGTGGATGGTGATGTGCCAACACAGTCAAGGTAATTTCCTCCAAGCAGCCTCGATATGGCTACCCCAGGGAGATGTGAGGCAACAGGAAAAGCTCATGTTTGGAGATAGTGAGCTGTTGTTGAACATGAGACAAATGACCTAGCCACTGAGACCATTTCCATTTCTATAAAATGGCAATAAAAGAATCATTGGAGGTACACACTTTCAGTCACGAGATGAATAAATTCTTGAGACCAAATATGTAGCATGGGACTAAGGTTAGTAATAATGTTTCATACTCTTTTAAATCAATTTTTTTTAAGTTTATTTATTTTGAGAAACAGAGAGAGCAAGTGAGGGAGGGGCAGACAGGGAGAGAGAGAGAATCCCAAGCAGGCTCTGTGCTGACAGCATGGAGCCTGATGTAGGGCTTGGACTCATGAACGGTGAGATCATGACCTGAGCCAAAACCAAGAGTTGGCCACTTAACAGGACCACCCAGGCGCCCCTAATGTTTCATATTTTTGAAGTTTACTAAGAGAGTAGATACCTCTCCCGCATGCATGTGCACACACTCACCCACACACACAAAGTGTGAGGCGATGGGTATGTTACCAGCTCAGTTGGATAATCATCTCACAATGTATGTGAATGTCAAAACGTCACATTGTACACATTAAATACCCACAATTTTTATTTGTCAATCATACTTCAAAAAAGCTGAAAAAAAGTCCCCAAGAGGTGTAGGGATGACATGAGGGAGCGTTTTGCCCTCTATCCTTCCTCTTGCCTTTCTTATAATGTTACAGCAACTTTTGCAGACTGGCAGATGGACCAATCAGATGTTTCTGCCTCATCCTATTTAACTCAGAAAATGATACTCCTACTGCTACAAAACATTATTTTCTAATTTCCTCAAAACAAACAAACAAACAAACAAACAAACAAACAAAAAACCCAGCAGCTTAACAGGCTGGGAGGCATGTTACTGTTTGGGTTTATATAGGAGAAAGAAAGAGGACTGGGAAGAGAATAAGGCCCCATTCTTTTTGTTCTTTCTCCAGCCACTCTTTCATTTGCTTGCTTTCTTTTCAGGAATCTTCAAGACTGTCTCCAACCCTGGGTTCACAGCATATGAAATGAAAATTGGTGCAGTTACTTTCCAGATTGCTACTGGAGATATTACCAAAGAAAAGGCAGATGTGATTGTAAACTCAACAACAAGGACATTTAATCTGAAATCAGGTATTTTATTTAAGCAATGTAGTTGACTGTAACTATTAAGATGACTCACGTCTGGGAGGGAAATTGTGGCTAATGTTGCCTCAGTAGATGGAGCATATAGCAGAACATAGGTAAGCCCTGGAATTAGAAAGACCTGGGTTTGAATCCCTACTATGCCTCTTACCATTGTGTGGCCTTGGAAATATCATTTAATCTCTCTGAGCCTCAGTTTCTCTGCCTGTCAGATGTTGATTTCCCACAGGAGGATTAGACAGGGTGTAACCATGTAAAGGTGAGGTGTAACTGACATGTCAGATTTAGTCTCTGTTAGCTCTCGTCCCCACTTTAGCCCTATCAAAATGCCACACTTCTAATTTAATAAGTTGAAGTTCTATTTTTATTTTCCCTTTTTAAGAAAGTTTTATTTATTTTTTAATTTTTTTTAATGTTTATTTCTGAGACAGAGAGAGACAGAGTGCAAGCAGGGGGTGAGGGTATAGTGAGAGAGGGAGACACAGAATCTGAAACAGGCTTCAGGCTCTGAGCTGTCAGCACAGAGCCCGACGCGGGGCTGGAACTCACGAACTGTGAGATCATGACCTGAGCCAAAGTCAGATGCTTAACCGACTGAGCCACCCAGGTGCCCCTTTTATTTCTCTTTTTATGTAACTCAGTGGGCACTCATATCTCACCTCTTGTAACTCTTCCCTTCTCTATGTCACACTGATCCAGAAATGAAACTCAGCCTTTTCTTGATTTTTCCTGGAATATCTGACCACCTCCATTGATGTAACACCTCTGAGCATGCCCTCTCCACGTCTATTTGTTTATAACTTACATACATATAAGCTTATGTTAATATATTTTTAATACAAAGCATTAAATTTGAGATTAAAAGGGTAAGATAATACATAAATAGAAATAGAAGTTTAAACATTTTCGAAACTGCAAAATATCATGGAACTTACTATGTGGAAGTGAATATGTAGAATATCCATCCAATGTATTGGTCATTCAAAATGCAGACATAAAGAACATTCAATTATGTGAAACATGGTAAATTGAACATATGCATTTGTTCCCGCTTCCTTGGAAAATTCTATTGAAGCAACAGTAAAGGAGGGGCGCCTGGGTGGCTCAGTAGGTTGAACGTCCGACTCTTGATTTTGGCTCAGGTCATGATCTCACAGTTCGTGGGACTGGATGCCATGTTGGGCTCTATGCTGACAGTGAGGAGCCTGCTTGGGACATTCTCTTTCTCTTTTCTCTCTCTCTCTCTCTCTCTCTTTCTCAAAATAAAAAAATATAAACTTTAAAAAAAGCATCAGTAAAGGAAACAAAAGGGCATAAACCCACAAGGAAAGGGAGAGTCAGAGGCAGACCAATAATGAACAAGAGACAACAATGTACTTTTAGAATATGAGAAGCAGAGTGGTGAAAGCTTAGCATCAGCAGGAGAGAATGGTAGACCCTAGAGACATAAGAGTTGGAGGCAGCAGGTACCTGGGAAGGCAGAGGACAAGTAAAGACATGAAAACAGAATTGATGCAATTCTGGGGTGCCTGGGTGGCTCAGTCAGTTGGACGTCTGACTTCAGCTCAGGTCACGATATCACGGTTTGTGGGTTTGAGCCCCGCATCGGGCTCGGTGCTAACAGCTCAGAACCTGGAGCCTGCTTCCGATTCTGTGTCTCCTTCTCTCTCTGTCCCTCCCCCACTTGTACTCTGTCTCTCTCTGTCTCTCAAAAATAAATAAATGTAAAAAAAAAAAAAATTAAAAAAAAAAAGAATTGGTGCAATTCTGTATGAGTAGCACTCACATCCTTCATTCTATCCTCCATCCATCCGATGCACCAGTAACTTCCCTTGCTCTTCCTTGGCCAGAGATGGGAGGTTTATTCTCTGGAGAAACAGAACCAGAGAGATTCTGGACTTAGAGCAGGACGCACAGGTGAGATGAAAGGGGGAGCTGGATAGTATTCAAGTGAAAGTTTCTGTACTGAACCGTGAGTGCCCAGCCCCTGTCCTTGTGGGGCTCCCAGAACAGCACACCAGCTTCTGCCCTCCAAGACATGAGATCGGCGGAGCCTTCTGGGGAGAAACCGGCTGCCTTAAAGCCTAGTATTTACTTCCTGCTTACCTTACACTAAAGCCTACTAGTCAGCAAGCGTCGTTTACATGGTCCTCCCAAACTCACTCTTAAACATCTTAAAATGGACTGGTGAAGATCATCTGACATTTGAAGAACACCTCCATTATTGCAAAGTCAGAGACCCACACATATTAAGAAAAAAGGAATTTTTTAAAAAGAGACAATTCATAATGCACACACAGAATCAAAGAGACACAGCAGATAGATAGAGGATAGAAGATAGATCGTTAAAATGATAAAATAACTGATAATTATTCAATGCTTTCTGTGTGCCAGATTCCATGCTAAGCATTTTGTATGCATTGCCTCTTTTAATGTTCAAATAACTCTGTGAGGGAAGTACTGTGCTAGCCTCTGTATAACTGATGAGAAAGTGACTAGTCACATATTAGCTGGTAAATGGTGGAGGCAACTCTAACAGTCTGTCAAAATGCATAGTCTGTGTTTTCAGCCATTCAACTCGGCTGTCATTAGTGGTGACCAAAGCGGTGAAGCCACAACCTTGACTGGAAGATTCACTGGCCTGAAGGCAGCTGCCTACCTGTGAAAAACAAAGCTAAACAAAACAAAAAATTAAAACCAAAAAGCTTATGCAAAATGCTCAGTTTTATTTTGGTTTTGAGATCCATGCTTCCCATTAGCATCAGAACTTTCATTTTTATATTTTTCAATTTTATCAGATAGTAAGGGTAGAATGCAAACAATTTCACATAACCGCAGAACTATCCCTGTACAAATGGAGCCTGTAAAGCTGCAGACACAGGAGACTGTCGGCTGTTGGGCAGCGCCATCATGCTGCAGCTCAGATTGTTTATTGATCAGCTACTGAATGAAGGTTGCTATTGAAAAGGTGGGTTTTTCTGTGGGGGGTATCCATGAATTACACACCAAGGGGCGAGCTGAATAAAAGTCTAAGGTACAAAAGCTACAGTCTTGTATTGGATTTTAACTAATGCTTTTTACCACTAACATGTCTTATTTAGGGGTGTCAAAAGCAGTTTTGGAAGGTGCCGGACCAGCTGTGGAAAGTGAATGTGCTGTACGAGGTATGGTCACATGTTACTTTTGGCTACAATCTACTGCAAATTAGAGGGCTGAGTACTCTAATAGGACCTACGGGAGGAGTGTTGAGTGCTTTGGAAAAAGGTCGATTCCCTGGGAGAGCAGATACAGGTGGTGTAACTGTGGCCGTGTGGAAGACGTCCTTTCTCCCACCATCTCACCTGTCTCTTCCTGACTATTAAAAAGAACTGGGTCCCAACGGTCCAGGCTCAACCATTTACTGAGGGCTCCTGGGCATGCCATCTAATCTGTCAGAGCTTTGTTTCTCTCGTCTGTAAGATGACTCTACTAAGGAGGGGTATGGTAATGGCTGGCTCACACGTGGTTGTGAGGATCAGGACAATGAGTGTGAAAAGTTACGTAAACTATAAGTGCTGTATAAATTATCTTTCAGTTTTCCCAACCCTGTTCTACTTCCTATAGCGCCACATCTACTTGCTGTGAAGAAATGTGGAGCCTGGGTGGGTCTGAGGTGTTTTCTGACCCCAACCAATTCTCCAATTCTAACACTATGTACCTGTAGAGTTAGCATTGGATCCCTCAGGGTAAAGGGCTCAGTCCCACAAGACTCCCCCCTTTCAGACACCAGTCGCCAGTCCTAGGGGCTACCTGTACTTCTCACTCATCCTCTATAAATTCACGCATTCACAAAACCCCCTTCTCTGGTCTGGCGGTACCCTAGAATGACTCATAGAACTCAAGAAAACACTATTTTTTTTTTTTTTTTACATTTACCAGTTTAGTATAAAGGATACAACTCAGGGACAGCCAAATGGAAGAGATGCAAAGGGGAAAGCATATGGGAAGGGACGCAGAGCTTCCCTGCCCTCTTCAGATGCACCACCCTCCCGGTACCCAGATGTGTTTATCAACCCGGAAATTCCCCAATCCTGTTTTTTTAGCAGTTTTTATGGAGGTTTCGTTATGTGGTCACAATTAATTAAATCATTGTGTTTTTGATGGAGGTCTGCAAAGGTCAGAGGGTGGGACTCTGACCATGGCTTGGTCTTTCTGAAGACCAGCCCCCATTCTGAAGCTATCTAGCCTCACAACCCTCAAGAGTCCTTTCATTTGCTTACAAAAGACTTATTACTCAAGAGATTCCAAAGTGTTCAGGGAACTCTGAGCCAAGAACCATGAACAAAGATCAAATATTTGTTTTTTTATTATACCACAGTGGGGAACCTGTAAAAGTGATGCTAAACTATTTATCCTTCAAAGTCAGGACTCATGTCTTGCCAAGGAGACTATCAGCTATGAGCGTGATTTTAAAAATCACAAGGTCTCATGTTTGACAAACATTCCCACAACTGACCTGCTTTTGTGCCTCAAAGTTCTATCTTGATAGCTGTCCTCTGATTAAGACGTTTTCTCTGGAATGAATGTATTCCTGGAAAGGGGTCAGAGGAAGGGAATACTGACCACTAACATGAGGATGTTAGCAGGAATTTGTGGGTTGGAAAAGCTAGCTGTACCTTGGAAGGCAGAAGCAGAGAATGAAGCAGGGTATCGAACAAGCTGGAAACTGAGGCTGCCTGGGATGGGACAGCCATTGGGACACCCGAGGGGCAGCAGCGAGTGCCTGGGCAGGGCGGGGTGGGCCCACTCTCCTCCTCCTGTATTTGCCAGAGGCCCGCCTTCCACAGGTACTTACTCAGTGCCTTAAAACAAGCTCTGGTGATTTCCATGTGTTCAAGAGCTCTCAGGGTGGAGAGAGAGGGAGGAGTTTTCATCCATTCACACCTCCACACCAATGAATACATTGCTTTTATCTCCTAGAAAAATTAATCTAGCTAAATGAGCACATAAATTGCTCTTCTGGACAGCAGCTTGGGGGTTAAGAGCTCTGGACACTGACTGCTTGGGTTCAAATCCCAGGCAACCTTTGCTATGGACCTTACTTCTCTGAGCCTCTGTTTAACCTGTGAAATGGAGAAAACAGTACCCACCTGATAGCCTTGTTTTGAGGACTGAGTGGATTAATGCAGGTACAGTGCTTTTGAAAAGCACCCCAAATATCAACAATATAGTTGTTGAGTAAAAGAATCCTGCACATCAGTCAGAATGGCTAAAGTTAACAACTCAGGCAACAACAGATGTTGGTGAGAATGCAGAGAAAGGGGAACTCTTTTGCGCTGCTGGTGGGAATACAAACTGGTGCAGCCCACTCTGGAAACCAGTATGGAGGTTTCTCAAGAAAT